GGCCCCCGCCTGGCCCCGCCCCCCCGGAGCTCTCCCTGGGCCCCCGCGGGCACCCGCCAAGGCCTAGAGCAGGGGCAGGCCGCGCCGCCCGTGGCCCCGGGGCAGGTGCACTGCCAGCGCCGAGGGCCTGGCACGGCTTGGGCAGGGGTAGGGCCAACTGCCCCCGGGGCCAGGGGCTGGAGCAGGAGCGGGCTCAGGGCTAAAGATCTCCAAGCTCTGGAGACTTGGAAGTCGCGGGTGTCGCCGTCTTCCCTGCTAGACACGGGCTGGGGCCTCAGCCGTCAGGGAGCGCGCCGACGTCCTCGTCCCTGCGCGCCCCGGCTCGCTTAGGCCTGTCCCTCCGGTTCCCCTCCGCCGAGGCTGGGCTGGGGCCGGACACGGGCGTGGCGCTCTCCCCTCAGCAGGAGACGTGGGCCGAGGCGGCTGGAGAAGGGTCCCTGCTGTCTGCCCCGCACGGGCCCCCTGCTCCGTGCCACGCCAGAGGTGAGGCTCATGCCCGGGGGTCCCCAGGCCCTGACCGTCACACGCAAGGGAGCGGCCCCCTCTCCCCCCGGCCTGGGACACGCTTCACACCCGGCCCCACAGTTACTTCTTGCACGGCTGCCTGCCCCCTCGCACGCCCGCCCCCGAGGGGTGCCCATGCCACCGCCACCGCCTCAGTGAGGCAGGTGCTGCGCCCCCCATTTCAATCAGCGCTCCCCCCAGGCCTGGCTCGGCTGCCCCCCAGAGCCGGTCCGGCCCCCCGGCGGCCCCCAGCTCTGCGGCCAGGGGCCGGAGCAGAGAGACTGAAAACTCAGCGTCATCTCCGCAGCCTGCCTACGAGAAGCGGTTTGGCTTCCTTGCAGCGCGGACCGGCTGCTGTGACCCAGCAGATCCACATCATGTGACGGCTCGCTGTCCTCTCTCGAGGCTTTTATTTTTTTTTCAGTCTCCCGTGCCTAACCAAAATAACTCGGCTCCTGTTCCCTTCCCATTCAGATCAGGCCCAGCCACGATCCCTCCGAACCGCTCTGAGGTCTGTCACTGATGCAATGCAGCGTCAGCTGGCGTCAGCGCTTCAGCATTCGCCTCAAGTCGCACCTTTGCAGTCCGGTCACACAGCATCTCGCAGCGCCGCACAGAGCCCAGCTGGCTTCCTTCCCCAGCTCCCCCCACCCCCAGTCCTCCTCAGCACCGAGGCCGGTGCTTGGTCTCCCCGTTCAGTTCCTCACCTAACTCGGAAGACGGGGATCTCTCTCTCCATAGCAGAAGGAGCCTGGAGCTACTTGTCTGGGGGATCCTTTGGGTTTTTAAGCCAGGCATAGGCTGCTCCCGGGCGAGTCTCCGTGTTCCACAGGGAGCGTGGAGCTAGCAAGGAGGCTGTCGGCTTCACGGGAAAAGCTATTTATTCCCCTGCATTGGGCTGGAATGGAAACAGCAAGCAGCTGAGCTGCAGCTTTCAGCTTCCTCCTTCGAGTGGGTCACGGGGAAGGAACACGTAAAGCTTGGTTGCCAGCCGCATGATTTGGCTTATTTGCTCTCTCGTAGCAGGTGCTTCGCTCTGGCATACAGAGCTCCTGGCGGCTGCCGTGGTCCGTCTGATTCCTGAGCGACCCCCTCTGCCTCAAGCCAGACAAAAGCACAGTTGGGGCTTTTGCTCACATTACCCAGGCTCTGTGTTTGCAAAGGTCAAGCGGGCACCTTGCTGCAGCTACTGGATGCCTGCCCCGGCTTCTTTCCTAGTAGGGGTGCTGCAGGGGTGCCCCTGGTTGGACTATAGGAAATGGCAGAAAAAGGAAGGCTACGGGGAAACTCACAGCTTTGCCATTCCCAGCTCCTCTCCTCAGGAGATGCTACAGGGACCGATGCAGGAGCGCCGGTTGCAAGGGAGCACCCACCTACTCCAACCCCAGGCTCTTGCAGTCAGATGCATTGCACTGGCTACGGCAGATGCCCAGGCAGAGGCGCAGCAGACAACAGAACAGGAGTGCTGGCAGGAGCACGCTCGCGGCCGCTCCACTTCCCGTTCCTCCAGCAGGAAGTACGGTGGGGAGCTAGGTAGCAAATCCGCTTGTTTTGGCCTCTACGGAGCAACGGCTGCGCATCATAGCTAGTGCTAGTAGCCCTGTTAAGCAGTAGGAGATGCTGCACGAGACGGACCGTGGAGGAGCTCACTCCTCCATGAGGAGGTGCTGCAGAGAAGAGCAGAGGGACCGTGGCCGTGCAGGAGGTCTCATCTCGTCTGGAGTCCGAGTGGAAGGGCTAGATTCGTTTCCAAAGGCCCCATCTTTCCACAGACATTGACTGTAGCTGCAAAGCACTCTGCTGGCTATTTCAATGCCACGCTTCCTCCATGTCCCTTGCCTAGGGACCGAATGGCTCGGTGTTGCTCAAAGAGCTAGGAGGAGGTTCACCCTGTCTAGTGCCACGTGAACTGGACCCATAAAGGCCAAGACTGGTAGTTAGTCAGGCTGCAGAAATAAGTGGGTTGTCTCCATTTAGAGCCAAAGATTTATGACTGACATTTCAGTCTCGGAGCCTGGGTAAGACGTCGCCCTTCTCTAGTCGTTCTCCAGCAAGGCTCTGGCTAGCTGGAGAGGTAGTATGTGAGCTCCTGCTTTCCTAGCTGTCCCTCCTTTCAGATGGATTGAGACCATCATCCAATACATTTTTTCCCCCGGAGCCCACATCACCTGCAACTCTGGCCCATCTTCCAGCCTCTTTGCAGCTGCAGCCAGGCAGCTATCTGGCACAAGAGTGGGAGACAAGCCAAAGCTGCCCTTGCAGCCTCAGCTGGAAGTCAGTCACTGGATGCAGTGCAAAGCAGAAACAGCAGCCTCCCCTCCCCCTCGAGTCCGCCTGTTTTATCACAGCTGTAATTAAAATGCCGTTTACTCCCTGCTCCAATGTCTCTCTCTGGTATAAGCCTCTTGAACTTGTCCCCAGAGACTCCCATCTGTCCTGCTTTATAATCACCCTCGCTCCCAGTCAGATCATGCCAAACCCAAATGTAGACGCTGAGTTTTTTTGTGTCTGGACAGTTCAGCAGGCGACAGGTCCAAGTGGGGCGTCTCATGCCAAAAGGGGCACCAGAACCTTTCTGCATAGACCAGGGGTAACACAAGTATCAGGACACTCGTAAGGCACCCGGCTGTGTTTGCTGCCAGAAGTGCCCTTCGCTGCACACGTGCCCAGTTTAAAGCTGCCTAGCATTATTTGCTGTGACCATCTTTGTCACCCAGCAGCTCCCCCCCAATCCAGCACCATAGTCTCAGTTGCCCAGGAGCCCCCAGAGTCCTTGCCTGGTCCCAGGGCTGCGTGCTCGGTTACTCAGAAGCTCCTGGGGCCCTCGTCTAAAGCTACATGGCGCAGTGATTTCAAAAGAAAATCCAAATGGCCAAGAAATGCTGATAAAATACCCCAACCTCCAATTCTCCCTCGCCTCTTCTGGCCTGTCCCAGGTGCGCGGCCCTCGGAGCCTGGCACGACGGCCTCTGGGAAGGCTGGTGCTAGCTGCCAAACCCCTGTCAGCACAGGCCAGACTGATCTGAGTCAGCTCTGTGAATGGAGATTAAGCACTGCACCCTCAGGGTAAAGTTCAGATGCTGTCTGTGGAAAGGAAGGAAGTTGACAAGAGGTTGTACTGGAGGAACAAACGCCATGCATGTCCTCCTACAGAGGCAGACTTGCAGCCTAGGGGCACAGCAAGCCTCCTGTTCTGCCTCCACCCTCTGAGATATTATCCAGGCTAATACCCGAGCCTTGTTACAGACCTGAGGAGTTGCCGTAAGGTGATCAGCATCCACGGAGCACCCATTCCTTTCGCCTCAAACTACACCTACTTCTCAGCCCCATCATCCTGCAGTCAGGAGCTCCAGCGGGTAGATAACTTCAAGTCACCTTGCAGAACCAGCAGAGTTTTAAAGCACTAGGGCAACGCCTGCATAACACACCTGGTTAAGCCGAAGGGCAGCTGTACTCCACTGAGATGCCATAGCCTGCAGTTTGGGGCGGTTTGTTGAGCATTTCTTGGACGCTTTCTGTGGGGGTGTGCTTAGTGAAGTCACAGGAAGCTGCGAACCAGGCTTGGATGGATCTGGGAACAATCCAGCTTTCTCCATTCCCAGGAGACTAGCACTCACCTTCCCGTGCTCTGAGTCTTGGAATGAGCTAATAAGCAATGAAGATGCGTCTTCCAGGAAGCACCTGGGCCTTATGCATCAGGCAAATGGAGATCCGGGCAGCACAGCCATTAAACAGGACCCAAGGGATGAAAAGCCAGGGCAGGGTGGGAGGGGAGGCCTGATTGCCCTGACTCCATGGAAGTGTACCAACTGTTAGGGAACCTGGAAGGACAACTCGAGGATGGCAAGTACTCACAGTCTGCGATCCATCGTGGTCTTCTTCGAGGTGCAGCTGCCTTTATCTCGTGTTTCCATCTCTTTCTCTTCTCCACCGGCTCTGAAAGGGCAGGGTGGAAAGGTGTGGATCAGAATGGGGAAAACTGGAGCTCTTTCTTGCTGACCTGCCCCTCTCAGACCCAGTCCCTAGATGCCGCTTCCTTTTCCCTTGGCCACAGACTACCTTGGATGGGGACATCCTGCATCCTCACTCTGGGGTGGATAACTGGGCCAGGAGGGCCTTGTGCATGATGAAAATCCTTAAAATCCTGCTCTAGCTCAGCTTTCTGATGGCTTGGGGCTGCCCATGATCTTACGGCTCATTCTCAGGCCTCCTCCTAATGCTGACGGTGAGGGGAAGGGAATATCTATACTGAACTTGCCAGTGGTTTCTTTTTTCCCTGCAGCCCTTCACACGGAGCAGATACGGAGCATGGCAAAACTCTGCAGGAAGAAACAGATCATCCCTGCTGTCTCTTCTTTGCCTCTGAGGACGTCAAAGCACGTTGCAGGTAGGCAGTCTCCCCTTTCTCTTCCAAGGTGGCAGGGGGGGACACGCATGACATTTTCTTCCTTTTACCAATGGGGAAACTGAGGCTCAGAGCGGGAAAGTGGCTTGTGCAAGGTCACAGAGGGATAGCAGCGGAGCTAGAACGAGTACTGACTTCTGCTGGCACTCTTACCCGGCGCTGTATGTCCTGGGTGAGACAATTGCACTCAGTCCGGGTGTGACGAACACGGCGCTCTGTTCTCTGTAGCTCGAGGCAGGGCAGCGAGCCCTCCTGTTTATTTGCTTTGTCTAAAATTTCCCTTCTGAGAACCCTGAAGCCAGGCAGCACAACAAGTATTTTTTCTCCTCCTGTCTGTCCAGTTGCTATATAAAACTGTTTTCTAAACACATAAGGGGCAGGGCTGGCAAGCCAGAGTCCTGATGCACAGAAACTGCTGCAAGCTTTTTGGCACTGTTTGGGCTGAATTTCAAATGAGGCCAACGTCTAATTTTGAGCGTGGCAGAGCCTAGGTCTAGGCAAACCAGTACCGGTGGGTTAATTCAGAGTGAGCCTTGGGAGTTAGCTCCTAGTGAGGCCAGGCTGACTTCTGGCTCAGGTGGCTTTGTCTGCATTTTGCTCCAGGAGCCCAAATCTCAACGTGCCACCGGGGGGGGGAGGGATCAAAACCCCATTGCGTTTCCACGGATGTAACGAATAACAGGCAAATGCGGTCGTGCAGGAGCAGTTCTGACGTTATTACTCGGAGGAATAAAACCCAGGCAGAAGCCACATGTGGCTGCCCCCCAACTAGACTGCACCAGCCACTAAGCGTTGACATGAACTCCAGTAACCCCTTTAGGGAGAACCAGTCCAGCACTGGGCTAATTCAGTCAACTCCCATTACTGAGATTGTCTAATGATCTGGCTGGCTGCAGAGACGCAGCATCTCAGACAGATGGTTTTATGGACTTAATATCCATTCAGGCCCTGCAGGCAATAAAAGTATCAAGCAAGCACTTTGCAAAATCACAACCCCCAGCCCAGGACTAAGTGCAACAAGCAGAGTAGGAAAGGGGTCCTGCGTTGCACGGTGTATCATGACAGCCGTGGAGGTGGAGCCTCGAGAGAGAGAGCCGGGCCAGGGCTGTTTAACACCAGGGAGGCTGATAGCAAAGAAGCCAGATAATAATCCCGGACTCCTCTTGGCATGTGAGAGGGCAGGATTGAGTCTGGGGCACCCACTTAAGGTAGGCCTCTTTACACAGACTCCTGTTAATGGCTCCTGTTCATCTGTGCACCGCCATCAGCTCCAGGCGGGGGGACCGAGCGCGTACAACAAGCCCCGAGCCAACCGGGAGAACTGCAGCTGCCAGCATGAAACATTTACAGGGCTGACTCCCCACTGAACCGCCACTTCATACAGTATTCACAGCTTCATACAGTATTAAGAGCTGCTGACGCCTCCGAAAAAACTGTGAAAAGCCCTCTATTTGGAGCCGGCTCTGCTTAGAATAGCGCATCCCGCGGTTCCTGTGCCCCCCCACCCCGCCCCTTTCCCCTACCTGGCTCTATTGCTAGGGAGAGCAGCCTGAAAATAGGGTGATCGTTTTGCCAGTGATACCGCACACCCTTCATCTGCAAAGCACTTGGCAACAAGTTCATTCTCGCAAGGCAGCAGGGAGGAATTATTAGTAGCCGCCACCTCGCTTTCCTCAGCTGGGGAAACTGAGGCACGGTGAGGGCAGAGGCAGGGAGGTTTGGAAGCTTTATCCCGAGCTCAGGAGATTGGGGTGCTGGTCCCAGCTCGGCTGTATGACCTTGGGGAAGTGGCTCAGGGCAAGGAAGAGAGGATAACACCTCTTGGCCCTGTCCTTCAGCTGTTTTGACTGAGCTCTTCAGGGCATGAACTGGCTCATCCTGTCTCCCGCACCACCGACAACAAGGCCCTGACCCCAGTCAGCACCTCCGGGCACTCCTGCATTCCTCAGTAACAAGCTTAGGCCTCAGAGAGAATCGGTGCTAGCGTGGGAAGGAGAGTCATGTTGTGGAGCCTGGCCTGGGAATCTTTATTTATCTCTCTTATTTACAGGCTTGATGATAAGAAAATGCCAGCAGGTGCTGGGGAGTCACAGTGAGACGCCCCCCTGCTGACTTGTTTCAGCTCCAGGTGCAGGCTCCCTCATGCACCTAGCCAGACTGTAAGGACTGAGCAGGGTTTCCCTGCCTGCGACTCTCTAGAGCAGGGGTAGGCAACCACCGGC